GAGGGCGTGGGCGCTTCCTCGGAAGCGGCCTTTCCCTGGAGTGGCGGGGCGCCATCGGGGTAGCGAAAATGAACGCACGGGAGGGCACACGGGGGACTGGGCTTGGCGTTTAGTCTTGCAGGTGCTGGGATTCATATTTGTGGGAATGCTCATTGACCGGTTGGATGCTCACCACCACCTCGGTAGCGGTAACCACGCCTACCTTACAGGCGAAGAAACAAATCAAAAGACGGGGCATTTTCCCATCGCCCCGAAGTAGCCGGCCTTGAATTCAGAGAATGCTTGAGCCGTGCACTTTTGATTGTTTCAGGAGATTTTTAAAAATGCGAATCAGGACCTTTCCCGGACGTTCTTACCACAATCAACCTCTGATACTTTGCCTCCATCCTCATTGATTTTGCTTTCCTTAAATTAGCCAAGCTGCTACCCCTTCCTCTCCCCCTTCTATTCTTCCTTGCTAAAACAGCCAATGTCTCCATCATCCCCTCCTCCAGCTAAATGCCTTAGTCTGCTTTATTAGGGTGGTTGTCGTTTTTGATTTAGCGACTATCTATATAGATCTTCTCTTTCGCTTTAGCCAATGCATATTTTTTGTTGTGCTGGGAGCCCAAGGCCTTATTCACTCCAAGCAATTGCTCTACTACTGAGCTAAAACCCCAGCCCTTAAACAAACTTTACAAGGGTAGGAGTCACAATTTGTAACTCCGGCACATAGCTCAGTGTCTGGCTAGTAGGAAGTTTTCTTCTGTTTTATTTAGTTTTCTAATACGAGGTGAGGTCCCATTGTTGTTGCCCAGACTGGTCTCAAAACTCATGAGCATAAGCCACGCTCCCACATCAGCCTTGTGAGTAATTGGAACTACAGGCTGGGCCCTCAAGCCAGGCAGGAAGTTTTCAGTAATGGTTTGTTGAATGAGTAAATAGTCACATGATACCTATGAAAGAAAACATTCTGTTTCATATAAGGAATCGTGACTTAACGTAAAGCATACATTGTCCTTAATGAAGTCTGACACAGAATTCCATTTGCTTGGGCTGTTTTACTACTGTGTGGCCTCTCCGGTCTCCCATTCCTTATGTACATCTGAAGCAGTGGCTACTGGTGTTAGTGAAGGAATTTTAAGTCTATAAGTCTGTATGAATACACAACGACCCCTTGCATGATCCCTGACTGGAAATAGTAATAACTTTCATTGTGTTTACATACATAGTCCTAATTAGTTTTCAAAACAACTTTTAACAGTGGTATGATCATTACCATTGTGTAGAGTAAGAAATCTGAAGTCTCAAAGAGATAAACAGACTTATCCTAAATCACAGAGCTATTAGGAGGCTGGGCCATAGCTCAGTGATGGCTAAGTGCTGAGGACCTGGGTTCATAGCAAGCTTGTAGGGCAGGGAATAAATTTGAAAAAGGAAAAGTTCTAACTCAAACCTAGGCCTCTTTCCAGAGCCTGTGCAATTAAGTTGTACAGTAACAGAAGTAATGGGTACTCAACAGAAGTAATGGCTGTTATTTTTTATTCATTAGCTGAGGAAGCTAGATGGATGCTTTTAGCTTTGGATTACTGATGCCTGCCCCAGTATGCAGTGAATTAGATATTGCTAGAATTGGCTGGTGTCAGTTTTGTTTTATCAAGAAGTTCATTGTGGTTTTTAGTTTGCAAGTTCCAGGTCCCTTTTTAAACATTTCCTTCCCTTAAATTATCCATGCTAGCAATAACACTTAATAGTGCTTACTGTGTGCTAGCTCCTTTTTTTTAGGGGGGCGGGTTTCTTGAGACAAGGTCTCACTATGTAGTTGAGACTGGCCTGGAACTCACTATGTAGCCCAGGCTGGTTTTGAACTCACATGTATCCTCTTGCCTCAGCCTCCCGATTGCTGGGATTACAGGTGTGCCCCACTAAGCCTGGCTTTTTTTTCCCTTTTTTTTTTTTTTTTTTTTTTGAGACAGGGTCTCCCTATGTAGTTCAGGGTGTCCTTGAACTCACTGTGTATCCCAGGCTGGCCTTGCAGCAATTCCCCTGCCTACCAAGTACTGGGATCACGGGTGTGTGCCACCACTCCCAGCTCCTGAGTGTTTTACATGTATTAACTGATTTGATCTTAATTTGTGTGGCTCAGAGGGGTTAAGTAACTTGCCTAGGATCACTTAATAATGCTACTATTTGAACCTAAATGATCTGGCCCAGATCCTGCTCTTAACCTCTCAACTGTTTGTTTTTTTTGTTTTGTTTTTTTTTTGAGGTTTGGGGGATCTAACTCAGAACAGTAGTAGATATTTATTAAATACCCATACTACGTCTTAGGCAGTGAGTGTTTTGCAGAAATTAGCTAATGTAAATGCCCTAAGGTTATATAATAGGTACTCTAGTAGGTAGACACATACTAACTAGTTTGACTAGAGGCACAGATAGATGAAGTAATTTGCCCTAGATCAATCAGTTTGATAAAATTGGCTCCCAGATCTGCCTGATTCAACTCATGCTGCTTGTAACTGTTTTAGAAAAAATCTTATGGATTTTTATAATTTAATGTGAAACATCAGATATGCTTTATTCTGAATTCCAGGCTGGTAGTGACAGAAATATAATACTGTACATACTGAACTTAAATCTTACTTTGCTAATGTGTGTGTGCATGTGTGAAATCTTACTCTGCTAATGTTTGTGTGCGTGCGCGTACGAGCGCCTGCCTGCGTGCTTGCCTGATAGGGGTCAAACCCAGAGCCTTGCACATGCTAGGCACATATTCTACCAATGAGATGTACCTCAAGCCACCTGCTAGTGATTTTTAAAGAATTAGTAAAGTGGTGTATTTTTTTGCCCAATGACATGTCATTGTTATGAACAGGGATTAAACTGACAGTACTTTGTAGATGCACACAGAAATTTATTTATTTTTTTAGACAAGGTCTTGCTATATAACCCCAGCTGACTTTGAACTTACCATCTTTCTGCCTTAGCCTCCCAAGTGCTAAGATTACAGGCATGCATCACCACCGAAATTATTCTTTTTGACCACCAAGAAATGGAACAGTTCAGTTTAGAGACTTCTTTCTGTGAATGCAGTACTCTTGTTTTTATACTACAGCTCATCTTAATTATTTTTATCCATTATTTGTATCTGGGTATTGCAGTAGGTAGAAAAAGGACCAACCAGATCAGCATAGTATCTTTTATTTGTAAAGATGTTTTTGATTTAGTCTTAAAAAAAAACAAAAAACAGTCGAGTTCTGGTTACGTTACCCATGCAGGCCCCTAACTCCTGGACTCAAGTGATTCTCCTGCCTCCATGTCTTGAGTAGCCGGGACTTCAGGAATGCAACCCCATGCTCTGTGGAACTTTCTTTTTAGTTATCTTTAGTTCAGTGGGCAATAAATGGGCCATATCATTTTCTCCGCAATAGTAAAGGGATCCCAGAAGTGTGCTTGTATTCTACCTTTCTGTAATATTATGTGTATTCAGTAAGGTTTATATACCATATACAAGTATCAGTCACTACCATTAATATTAACATTGAGGGCTGGGGGTTTAGCTCAGTGGCGCTGTGCCTGCCTCACAAGCACAAGGTCTTGATGAGTTCAATCCCTGGTACAAAAAAAAAAATTAACAATGAGACTCAATTGTTATTTTGCTGCCACCAAATTACTAACAATTAAAATAATGTGCTACTGATAAGAATTCAAAGAAACACTTCAATTACTGTGGAACTACCGCTGTATTAATCAGTTGAGCTTCTGGTGATTGATAGGTATATTTTTTCTTGTCCCAGTGAACATACCTGTTTTTCCACTGTGCATATTAATAAAAGGAAAGATTATGGAGTTGAGTAAATTCATGTCCTTGTACATTTAGTAGTTAAGGGCCTACTTGCCTAGAGTGGATACTAATTTATAGGTTGCATAGTGAAGAATCTGATTTTAATTTTTTTCAGTAGTGGAGAGCGGACCTGGGGGTGTTCTAATACTAACCTATATGCCTCAGCCCTTTTGATTTTTTAATTTTGAGACAGGATCTTGCTAACCTTCCCAGATGGGACTCAAACTTGTAGTCCTCCTGCCTCAGCATCCATAATTGTTAGGATTATAGGACTGGCTCTGGTTTTAATTCCTTTTTTTTTCCTCATTGAGTTTATTGGTACATTTTAGGTACACAGTACAGTTACATTCATCATTGGGATCTTGTACCTTTAGATGACAGGTCTTGGTTCTCATTTTTCCCCCTTGTCCCTGCCCTCCCTTCACCCCTCCTCCCCTCCCCCTTTACAAACACTTTATTTCCATTTTTTCATTTTCTCATATTTTTTTCTTTTCCCTTATTAGCTTTCCTCTGCACTTCCCACTTTCCCTACACCTTTAGCCCTTTTCTTCCCATTTCACAGTGTCAATTATCTCATTAGGATCTTATGTACTATTATAGTTTATTCACACCAGAGAAACTGTTGGTAGAGAAGCAGCAGCGAGGAAGCAGGGTCAAGGAGGAGCTGGGGCTCCCAGGCCATGCCCACAGTGCTCCACCACTTCCAACCAGGTCCCACCTTCTAACAGCAAGCTGTAAGCCCCCATCATCTAATCACCTTCTAAAACCCTCATCTACCATATGAGCACATGAGGTTCTTGGAGAACATCTAGATATAAGCCATAACATCTCACCCCTGACTCCCAAAAGACTCATGCATATCCCTTTTGCAAAATACATTTAGTCCATCTTTAAAATTTGCCACAGTCCTAACATTATTGCTGAAAAGTCCAAGTTCAACGTCTCCTCTGAGACTTAAGGTAGGCCCTTAGTTGTGAGCTCCTATGAATAAAAAGAAAATTAAACATTGCTGGCATACAATGGCACAGGTTAGATATTCCTGTTGCAAACGAATAGGGGGATAGAAACCAGTGGATCCAGAGAAAGACTGAAATGCAGTAGCACAAACATTAAACTGTAGCTCCAGCACCCAAGCCAAGTTATAGTGAGATAGAAACTCCAAAGGGTTTGGGCAGCCCTGCACCTACAGCACTGCAGGCATTAGTGGCCCTTATGGCTTTTTTCTTGAGATGGCTTTGCTCACTCATTGCAGTCCACCGAACGGCTGAGCTAAATCCCCAGCCCGTGTTCATTTTTAAAATAAACTTTCAGACATATTCAAAGGGGGATACAATATTATTATTTATTTAATTTTAATATTTTAGGTTTTTTTTTCTTTTACTAGGGGTCAAACTCAGGACCTTGTGCTTGCCAGGCAGGTGTGGAATAATATTTATTTTTTACTGAGATGGAGTCTTGCCATGTTGTCCAGGCTGGCCTCCAACTTGGCCTCAGCCTCCTGATTAGCTGGGATTACAGGTATGCATCACCAGACCCAGCTGGGAATACTATAATGAATCTCTGTATGCTCATCACTTATATTTAAAATATTATCAGCATTTTGCCACATTTTTCTTATCATTTAAGAATTTTTCTTTCTCTTTTCGACCTAAAGGAAATTGCGAATCATATTGTTTTATTTCCACAATCTTTGATTATTCTTCTGTAAGACATACAATTTTCTTAGGTGGCTGTAATTTATTGTATCTACAAAGATAATAGTTCTTGATATCTCATACCTAAATTTCTCTGGTTAACCAAATCATATAAGGCTCATCAAATATTTATACTGCATAATGCTCTCATTTGAAACAGCTATATTTCTTTTTCAGATTAGTGATGATGAACCAGGCTACGACCTTGATTTATTTTGTATTCCTAATCATTATGTCGAAGATTTGGAAAAGGTGTTTATCCCTCATGGACTAATTATGGACAGGTTAGTAAGGTCTCCAATTGAAGTTTTTAAAAAATTTTTTGTCTTGTATTTTTTTGTTTGTTTGTTTTTTGGTACCAGAGATCGAATTCGTGTCCTTGTGTGTATGAGGCAGGTGGCAGAACCACTGAGCTAAATCCCCAGCCCCTTTCATCTTGTATTAATTTCAAGTGCCAGGAAGTGTTGAATGGTTAATGTGAAACTAGGCCAACTCGTTAAATAATAAATGCTTTCTATTTTTAAAAGTCCTCTTTACAAAAAAAAAAAGAAGCAGAGGGAGGCCTTATTAATTACCCAGTATAAGGCAGGGTATGGTGGGAAACTGTAGGAAATAGAACAAAGTGAAAGCATTGAGGGAGGTTGGAGAATAAACTCTAGTCAGAATCTTGGTGGATTTCCCTGTCCTGAGTAGGGTAATGGGTTGAGGCTGAAATCCCACGTAGGCAAGGTCTGGGTTTGATTATTGTAAACACATCAGCTTGAAAATCACCCCTTGAATTACAGTGAAAAACTTTAGCATTTGAACACTTGCCTTGAGTGTCTGGCTATGATGCTTTTACCTTGTAAAAGTAGCATACCAATGTATGTTATATTACAAAACATCCCATTTTTGGAGGGTATGCATAAGAAGAGGAAGCTGCGGGCATGGGAGCACACACCTGTAATCCCAGCACTTGGGAGACTGAAGCTGGAGAATCATAAATTTGAGTCTTGCCTGAGCAGTTTAGTGAGACTCTGCCTCAAAATGAAAAATAGAGGGCTGGTAATATAACTGGTGGTAGAGCACCCCTGAGTTCTATCCCCAGTGCTGCAAAAAATAAACTCAAATGAGAAAAGTTCTTTCAACCTTGTGTACATACTCCCAGATGTTAGCTGTGCACATATACTATATGTAAATGTGCATATATATAATATTTTAACATATGGATATGTACAATCATAGTACTGACATTTATTTGAGGTGGTTTGTTTTTTGAGACAGGGTCTTGTTATGTAGTCAAGGTAGCCTCAAACTTGAGATCCTCCTGCCTCAGCCTCCAAAGTGCTGTGATTATAGACATGTACCATACCTAGATTTTTTTTTTTAGTGTCTCGTATATTTTATAGGTTGCATAGCATTCTATTTATGGAAATTCCTAATTGATTTAATTAGCTGGCTATTGATGGTCACTTAAGACCTCTCCACTATTTTGCTTTCATAGACTGTACCAGAAGGAATATCGTTTTACACAAGTTTTAGCCAGCCCTTGCTCAGCTTTATCCAAGTGGATAAATTCTAGGTCAAGGGGAAGGTATTTATTGAATATTTTAGTACTGCCAACTTATCTTCCAAAAGGTCATACCAGTTGGTACTCCCAGGGGCATATGAGAATGCTGTTTCCTTACAGTCTCTTCTAATGATGTATATTATAGTATTTAATCAGAATTTGTCAGTCTAATAGCTGAAAGTGATATCTTGTTTTTATTTGCATTGCTTAGTTTGTGGTAGATGTTATAGTGTACTTGATTTTTGACAGTATTGAATTTTAATTTTGCTTCATGAAAGTAGGATATCCTTTATGGGGACAAGGGATGCTCAAAGCTTAAGAGATAATTTGTTATCAAATTTAAATTTGTGGAACTATCTTTTAAATCTCTGATTTTATTTCTGTAGGACTGAAAGGCTTGCTCGAGATGTGATGAAGGAGATGGGAGGCCATCACATTGTAGCTCTCTGTGTTCTCAAGGGGGGCTATAAATTCTTTGCTGACCTGCTGGATTACATTAAAGCACTGAATAGAAATTGTGATAAGTCCATTCCTATGACTGTAGATTTTATCAGACTCAAGAGCTACTGCGTAAGTATATTTGATACATGATTTTAAAAATACATCTCTGGTTTTGTCTGTATTTTCTTTGCAGCTCTGTAAGCTCTACTTACACATTCATTTTACTCAGTTACAGTGGGCTTTTCCTAACATACTCATTAGCACTTTATATCAAAGTGAGTATTGTCTTTTTCAAACTATTCATCTAAGAGTCTATTGACTTATTTTACAGGTTTTTTTGTTGTTGTTTTGGCAAGGGTTTCCTGCTTTTGTTTGTTTATTTTGTTTTTTGAGCCAGGGATATCATGGTGTTTTCCAGGCTCATCTCAAGTTACTGGGCCCAAGCTGTTGCATCTTCCAGGACATATGCTGGGAGTACAGGCATGTGCTGCCACGCCTGACTTTTTATTGGTGTTTCTTTTTCTTTTCGTTTTCTTTTTTGAAGACAGGGTCTCACTATGTAGTTCAGACTGCCCTGGAACTCACTATGTAGCCCAGGCTGGTCTCGAACTTGCAGTGATCCTCCTGCCTCAGCTTCCTGAGTATTGGGATTATAGGTGTGCGCCACCACACCTGGCTTTTATTCGTGTTTCATGAAAACTTCTAAGAATTGCTATTGAGTCTTGGGGACGCCTTTCTGACTATACTTAGTAATAACAGATATCCTGTCTTGGTAGGACTCATAAGTCATTTGGAGGTGAATCTGATTTATAAGGTCAACAGTTTCTTCCCAGAAAGCAGAAGCTGCTTTTGACCCACAGTCACTAACTGTGTCACACAATCTGAAATACACTAGAATATCGACACTGTGATAAAACAGAACCAGTGTAATCTTTTTGTGAATTTTGTCATCCACAATATCTTTGTGTTAATGTTTGATTTTTATTAGTTTTATTACTTTGTATTTCTGGTAACTTGCTATTTTCCAAAACAGGCATTTCTTCTAGCTTCTTCAAAGATTAGAACAAAAGTCCAGTCTGCTCTTTCATACACCAGTGTTGTAGTACATCTTTGTACAAACTTTTGTTCATGTTTTTACTGAGAGTGAGAACACTTAGCAACATTTAATTTTGATTTTCATTCTCTCCATAAGTCATCTATTTGAATGACCCAAGTCTTGGACCTTTTCCACTTTTTTTTTTTTTTTTTTTTTTAGCTAGGGCTTAATCCCTGGGCCTCATGCATGTTAGACAGGGGCTCTACCACTGTGCTCCATTTCTGTTTTTTCTAGAGGACAGTGTTTCTTCAGCCCTCGGCGAGTGAGCTCCATGCATGGGCTCTGGAGGAGGTCACGAGGTAGCACAGAAGGTCTGCCAGGAGTGTGGCTGCCAGTCTTTCTGGGCCTCTCCAGATCAGCGTCTGTCCGCCTACCTGTGCATGGCGCCACCCATCCCATGATGCAGCTTTGCATACAGCTTGGGGAGCACATAGATATTGTTGACACTCCCTTGGAAAATGTCCTAGATGTCTGTGCCCTCTACTATCTTTTAAATGACAAACCTCTTAAAGGCTTTGTCCTTAGGCACCTATCAGGCACAGTTGGTGCAGTGAATAGGCTGCTGGCCTAACCATTGTTCCTTTTTTCTTTTTTTGTTATCTTGGAAGCAAGAACATGAGAAAGCTTTTTCTACGTTTTGGTTAGTCCTGTGGGTTACTGGGCAGCCATTTAAGTATCATTATAGACATTTTTTGTCCCATTAAATAAACCCTTTATGCCCGCATATAGTGATAGTACTTACTGCTTATAAGATCCTTTTTAATTTTTCAAAGCCTTGCTTGAATTAAAGACTTAAACAGAAAACTTGGTTCTTACTCAACGGAAGATACTGATGTATTCATTAGTGGATAGTTTGCATTAAGACTTAATTCTAGTCAGGGTAGCTGCTGGCATTAGAGTTGAATAGCCTTTAATAAAATTTTTGCTTATAGTCCTAGCAGGTACTTACAGCCCTGTGATATGATTTATCTTTTTGGTCTTCTTTAGCAACCCCTGTGCAAAATAAATCTTGTTTCCTTATAACTCCTATCTGAGCATATGTGCCTAACGTTCTTTCCTTTTAAAGAAATTTTTTTGCAGTACTGGGTATTGAATCCAGGGTCTCAAGCATGCTAGACAAACACTCTATCAATAAGATACATCCCCAGCCCATTTTAAAATTTTGAGACAGACTCTAAGTTGCCCAGGCTGGCCTTGAATTTGGCAACCTTCCTGCCTTAACCTCCTGCATAGCTGGGATTAAAGATGAGTGCTGCCATCCTTGGCTGAGAATATTTTTTCTTTAGGAAACAAAAACAAGCAAAAAGGGGGCAAAATTTTAATATTTTCATTTAAAATATTTTGTTTTAAAGGCAATTTGGAGTGATAGAAATATAAGTAAAGCATATTTTTATGTAACATTTTTTTTTGGTACTGGGGATTGAACTCAGGTCCTTGTGCTTGCAAGGCAGGCGCTGAAACCACTGAGCTAAATCCTCGGCCCTGTAAATTTTTATATCAGAAAAAAGAACCTGTAATATTTTATGTAAAATTCTGTATAGATTTACTGTATAGCAGTAGAAATAAGAGAACTATCCAGGTAATGTATTGATTTGAGGTAGCATTTCTAATCTGTTTAATAATTCAGTAATTTATCATGGAAAGCCACACAGCTTAATTTGTAAAACCATAAAGTGAGGCTGGGGATTTAGCTCAGTGGTTTTGCTGTCTGCCTTGCAAGCTCAGTGTCCCTGAGTTTGATCCCTGGTACCAAAAGAAAAAAAAAGACACCCACAAAGTAAATAAATAAAGAAAACCATGAAGTGGAAATTTTAAATTGTAGCTTGACTAACATTGATGTCATTATGATTTTTACATACTGATCTTGACCGGTTTGATATAGTGAACAAAAGGCTGCCTAATCTGTACTGTACTAATCCTAAATAAATGCTCCATATATTTATTATTCCCAGAATATATAAGGAAGCATTATAATGAAAATACACTCATCTATTTTTTCTTCCAAATAAAAATTTTATTTTTCCAATTAGTAAAATGCATGTTTTTTACTTGAAAACAATTATAAAGGAATTAAGTCTTCTTAGATTCTGCTATTTTTATATCTAGTATTTTAAAGCATTTTCTCTCTGTACACATATACACATATTATAGTTTACATGCACTTAATCAGAATATCTAGGCAAGATTTTATTAATCTAGTGCCTAGGTGAGAAATAGCCTGAAGATGCCAAATACCATGTCATTAAATTAAAGATGCTACTAAGACTTACCACTATTTTTTGTATTACTAAGAAAGAAAAGACTTCCAGTTACGGTTGTATGGTACCATCAGTTGTAATAATGTCGACTTTAGAGGCAGTAACATCTGCATGTCCATCTTAAAACACTGAAATATAGTACTATATTATAAATATATTCAATGACCTTTTCTGACCCTGAGGCTCTATGATATTCAGAAAAATGAAACAGTTGATAAGTATATGAACATATTGCCTCTATTGTGAATTTTTTTTTTTTTTTTTTTTGTACCGGGGATTGAACTCGGGTCTTTGCACTTGCAAGGCAGGCCGCCAAACGGCTGAGCTAAATCCCCGGCCCTTATTTCAATTTTTAAGTAATATTTTTACTAAGGGTTGGTGATGAAGCTCAGTAACACCACGCCCACCTCGCAAGCGCAAGGTCCTGAGTTTGATCCCTGTTACCTGAAAATAAAAAATATTGAAGTAATATTTTTGCTAAAAGAGTTGAATAAAAAAGTAATGAAGCCTCAGGAAGAAAAGTTGTTAGATAAGTAAAAAAATTTTTTGGGTGCTGAGAAAATGAAGACCCTGGGCGTCCTGCATGATAAGTACGTGATCTACCACAGAGCTACACCCCTAGCCCCCAAACTGGAGTGCTTGTTGCTTCCTACAGGTATTCAGATTCTTAGGAACGGACAGGTGGGAACAGTTCTTTCCCATTAGCCTTGTTTTTTTCACCTAAACTCTGAGAGGTAGATAGATATTAAGGTTATATATTTGTAAGCCGAAAGAGCTTCTCTGGAAATTATAGGTAGTTGGTGCCCTGAGTTAAGGATAGCTTGGACTCTATGGCTGGGAGGAATGAAAAGAGACCGTAGAGGGATAGATAGATAACTGTGGCAGGACGGTCTCTCCCTGGGTGCCAGTTCTGTCCTCCCACACTTCACCATAATTAAAGAGGCATCTCAGTAAAGGAATACAGTGGGAGGCTTGTCCAAACAGGAGGGGAGGCAGGGAGTTCAGTGCAGTTCCTGTGGGCATCCAGGTAAGGTAATTTATTCATGCATTCCATTTCTGTGATTTGGGCACTTATAACTATAATTCAGCAAGTGGACTGTACTTTCACTCTTAAATGAATCTTCTTTATTAGCCTTCATTGAAAAGGCTCTTTCCATGAAAGTCTCAGAAGAAATACAAGCTAAAAACCTTGGGACCAATTAGAGTGATTTGCATGGCAGTAAAGAACCAGTGTCTTGTGTGCTTAGAGGTCTCTTATCACTTACCCGTATCATCAGAGCCTTTGGATCAAAAGTATTTTACCGTGATTTCACCCATGAGTTGTTAGAGTGGTTAGATATTTACTCTTGTCCTTTTGTCACTCAAAAAAACAAAACAAAAACAGTAATTGAAGTTGGGCTGTAATACCACATTTCAACAGAAGATGGCACTGTTTATCAAGGTTTATAATGGAGATAAGCCTGATTTACTCTGGTCTAAGGCTTCAGGTTTTATACTTTTTTTTTGCCATTAATCAATTCTGTATCGAAATGCTGGACTTTAGTTAGAATATTTCTCTAAGTTGAGAATAACTTGTAAGACATTTTGATACCATAAAGTAATACATTTCGTTTACAACGTGGAATATTTGCTGGGGCAGGGGAGTTGTTTTTGGTGTCGGGGATGGAACCAGGGCTTCACACGTGTGAAGCAAATGCTGTGCCAGTTACACCACTGAGCTGCACCTGCAGCCCAACATGAGTAGTTTAAATGCTGAATTAAATGGTTTCATAGCCAACATGCTGTTCTGTGACTTGGTGTTTTTAATTAACATTGTTCCATGCCAGTGTATATTAGATTAGTAGAGTTTTTTTAATAGCTTTATAGTATTACTATTGTGTGTAGATTAATTTCATTAATTTATGTAGTTTTCTGTACACTCTTTGTTTTCAGTGATTAGTGAACATCCTTGAATGTACTTTTGCAACTTGTGAGTGTTTTTGTAGCATCATAACCTCTAATTAGGATTGCTGGGCCAAAATGGCATGCATGTTTACAGTTTTTCATAGATATTACTATATACTTTTCAAAAGAGGTGCGAATTTATGCGCTTACCAACAAGAGTGCGTGTTTCCCCTCGACATAGTATCAGACTTAATTTTGCAAGTCTGGATGGATGGACAGTAGAATCATGATTTAGCATGTTTCCTCAGTATCATTTTATAAGTTAAGGACTTTGTTTTATAAATTGTCTATTTGTGTTTATTCTCCAATCTTCCTTTGGGTTCTTATTTGGGAGTCCAGTGTGTATTAGGAATATTTGTTACTTTTTTTTTTTTTTTAGTTTGGGTTTTTGGGTTCTTATTTGGGAGTCCAGTGTGTATTAGGAATATTTGTTACTTTTTTTTTTTTTTTTAGTTTGGGTTTATATCATGCCTGGGTTTTTACCCTTTCTAAGAATGTGAAAAAAATCTTCTATTTTCTTCAAATCTGCTTATGGCTTTATTTTTTATATTTAGATTTTAATCCATCTGGAATTTATTTTGTGCATGCTGTGAGGTAGGGACTATACTTTATTTTTCCCAAATGGATAAGTAGTTGACCAAACACCATTTATTGAATAATTCATCTTTTCCTTACTTACTCAAAATACCATCTTTATCATATACTAAATCCTCATATGTTCTGGTCTGTTTCTGGGCTTTCCTTTGTTAGTTACTGTGCCAACACCACTCCACTATAATTGCTGTAACTTTATGGTGTGGATTGCTCTCTGGTAGGGCAAGACTGAGCTCTTTGGTTTACCCACTTTTTAACCCTGTTTTCTGTCTTGAATCCAGCACATCCAAATTATGATTATTACTACCAATTACAGAAGATACTGAATATTCCCCCTTTGAAACTCCTGTAACGGTTTCTGCAAGATTCTGTAATAGCAGCAATGAGAGCCTAAGACATATGCCCTGAAGGACTATAGATCAGAGCTGGTTTCCCAGGACCAGGTTTGCCCTGTTGAAGATTACCTGGTTCTGGGAACCGCCCCCCCTTTTTCTTTCTGTTTCTGGGGATTGAACCCAGGACCTCTCAATGCTACTCAAACATTCTACCCTTTGGCTACATCCCCAGCCCTGAGGCTTTTGATGTGTCATACCCTTGGGGTTAGATGTGATACTGACCAGCCCCTATAACTTGCTTGACTATGAGAATGGTACAGGGCCAGAACCAGATGCCCGTCATGCTAATAACTTCCCTTGTGGTTCAGAAGTGACTGAACTAATGTTAGGCGTTTGCTGTGATACTGTGCACTCAAAAATGGGTGTACCCTATTTTTAGGACTCTTAAAAACATCAAATCGGTAATGGCCAACTAGAACTTTTAATTTGTACTAATCTCTACTTGAAAGTTTCCTGGTCATTCATTTCTGGAAACATAATTCATATCATTTAGAATGTCATAATGCTGTGGACATTAGTTAGCTAACTTCTTAAACCTTGTAGTTCCCATATGATAATTTGAAGTATATGTACATAAGTGGATAGATGTATATACAATGTTGTTTTTTTTTTCTCTCAAACTAGAATGACCAGTCAACAGGGGACATAAAGGTAATTGGAGGAGATGATCTCTCAACTCTAACTGGAAAGGTGTGTACCTTGAAGGGGAAGAAGAGAACACTTTATACCAAGAGTCAGTGAGTAACACTGTGGTTTCAGTCTGTCACTAAGGCAGCTTACATAGCATCATTAAACAAGGGTTATTTAACCCATGAAAGCGATGTAGGTTAATTAACTTTCCCTAGGTTATATAGCCACAAGACAGCAGAAACTATTAAAAGGTTAGATGGGCCGGGTGTAATCCTGTAATCCCAGCACTCAGGAGGCTGAGGCAGGAGGATCGCTGTGAGTTTGAGGCCAGCCTGGGCTACATAGTGAGTTCCAGATCAGTCTCAACTACATAGTGTGAGACCCTGTCTCAAAAAAACAAAAAATAAAATAAAAGGTTAGATGGGCCGGGTGTAATCCTGTAATCCCAGCACTCAGGAGGCTGAGGCAGGAGGATCGCTGTGAGTTTGAGGCCAGCCTGGGCTACATAGTGAGTTCCAGATCAGTCTCAACTACATAGTGTGAGACCCTGTCTCAAAAAAACAAAAAATAAAATAAAAGGTTAGATGGCTTAGTATCTAGTACTGTTCTCTATATCTGTCAGAATCTGATGTGAAATCCTTAAAAAATACAAATTGGGGCCAGGAATTTAGCTCAGTGGTTCTGGTGACTGCTTCACAAGTGCAAGGACCTGAGTTAGATCCTCAGTAACAACAACAACAACAAAAAATACAAATTGAGGGCTGGGGATTTAGTTCAGTGGCACTGCAACTGCCTCAAAAGCACAAGGTCCTGAGTTCAATCTCCAGTACCAAAAAAACAAAAACAAAAAAACCCACAAAAATATAAATTGAGGGAAAGTTAGCTTTCTGTTTAAGAATATACATAGTTTCTTAAAAGATAGAGAAGTGATATAGTGTAGTAGCTGAAGGTGTGGGTTCTAGAACCTGACAGCTTTGCTTCAAAGGTTTGCTCAGAATTTCCTAATCCTCTGATGTTGCACAGGTCATTTAACCTCTGTGTCCCAGAAGTAAGCAGTATAAGGGTGACCATGGCAGCCACCTCATAATTAAGCAATTTAGGTGACACAATACATGTAGGGCTCTTGAAACAGTTTATGGTAAATTAATACATGAAATAAATAAGTTAAAAACAAACTATTTTAGGAAGTCTCAGTTTTTGTAATACATGAAAATTCTCAAATTTTTTACTATGTTGTGTGTCCATTGTTTGTCTCAGGATTTTTTTTTTTTTTTTCGGTACTGAGGACCTTGGGCTTGCCAGGCAGGCATGGTACCACTGAGCCAAATCCCTGGCTGTCCCAAGATTTTTTAATTTCCCTTTTGATTTCTTCTTTGATCCTTTAGTTGTTTTGGTCATGTTGTTTAACTGAAAACAATAGAGATATTTAGATATTTAAACATTATTCTTTTGTGCGTGTGCATGGTGCTGGGGATCAAACCCAAGTCCTCAAGAATGTTAAGTAGGTACTGTACCACTGAGTTACATCTCAGAGGCCCTGAGTATCACTCATTTGATACACTGAAAATTCTTTTTTGGGGGGGTACTGAGTACTGGGGATTAAACTCAGGACCTAGCGCTTGTGAGGCAGGCAGTGGCACCAGTGAGCTAAATCCTTGGCCCCTCTACATTGAAAATTCTTCAATCAGTGATAAATTAGACTTTTTTGAAGCTGCCAGTTACTGTTTTCTTGCTGATACTGTGCTGAATACAAAGGCATTAAAAAAAATAAAAGTTTTGCAACAATCCCATAAGAGGTTATACCCTTTTTACAGATAAGGGAAAGAGTTAACAGTTTGAAACACAGCACGGCATTATGAGATAGAAAAATGTTTCACAGTTCCAGAATCAGACAACCAGTAAGCAGTAAAGCTTGAATTTGAATGCAGACACCACAGTTCATATTTTCCTCTTTTAGATTTTTTTTTTAGTACTAGGAGTAAATGTAGGGCCTTCACACTGAGCTACAAGCTCATCCCTTTTAAAGAAAAACTTTTATTTTGAGACAAGTTCTCACTCAGTTGCCTAGGCTGAGCTCAAATTCAACCATCCTCCTGCCTCAGCCTCCTAGAGTGCTGGGATTGCTGGTGTATACCACCACACCCGGCTTGGCATTTAGATTTTAATATTCACTGTTTACTTGACTGAGTATCTATGAGAAACTTTAACATAAAACCCTCGAATGAAATTCTGTGAGCCTGTATTGGGGTCATACCAAACTAATGTTGACCTCAACATTTTCTGAAAGCACTGGAGAAAAAATTGTAATCTCTCCGTTCTTTCTCTTGTTCATTCTATATGCTACTGCCCTGCTGCTTTTCCCTTCCCTTTGAGCATGTTTTGTCCATATTTGGAAGCCATTTGAAGCCCTTGCTCATAGAATCAGTTTTCATTGGAGGAGGAGGTTTAGCCATCAAGGCCTTCTGTGATTTAGTTTAACCTTGCCTTTTCCAGCTAATGGCTCTGTCCGGCTCTGTTGCTCTGTGACCTTATAAACAAGTCTCTGTTTCTAAAACACCTAGTTTGATGCTAGTCACAGTAGAGAACATTTATTGTGGAAAAACCAAGAAATATTAAAGAGTGAATTTATTTCTAGCTAGTGATGTTATGGGCTAATTAAAACTACTTCATTTTATCTTTTGGGGGGAAATTTACATATAAACAGAAACATGTATATGCATATTTTCTTCTTTCTCCATTTAATGTTTGAGGATGGGGTTTGGATCTCGAATACACCTTTGTTCAAATCCCTTGTCTTCTGTTTGCCTGTATTTATAACTTTAGGAAAGTCATTTGACTTCTGAGCCTTACTATTTTTATTAAGTAGGGATGTATCTACCTGACATAAATTAAACTCTCAATAATGGTAACAATTCTCACTCTTTTTCCCCCCAGTACTAGGGATTGAGCCCAGGGCCTTCACACTGAGCTACATAAAACAAATGCTTATTTTGAGACAAAGTCTCACTAAGTTGTTAAATTGCCCAGGGTGGGCTCCAATTTTTGACACCAAGCTGAACTTTATTGATTGATTGACAGGGTCTCCCTTTGTAGTTCACGCTGGCCTTGAACTCATTATGGAGCCCAGGCTGTCTTCAAACTCTGAGTGATCCTCCTACTTCAGCCTAAAAGTCTAGTCTTATTCAAGATTGTGTAGCTCATTAGCTGTTAGAACCAAATGTAGAAATCAGTTTCTCTGGTCCCTGGTCCCGTTGTGCAAATTGTTAAAACTGAGCCATGGGTACTTGTGGGAATATGGATCCTTCAGATGGGCTAGCTAGGCTAGAGGAAATTTTGAGAAAGAACCACATAGTTAGTACATGGTAAAGTAATTACTGGTCAACTGATTGATTATATTCAGTTATTCCAAAGATTTATATCTGTTGTGTTTGTGTGGTACTGTTGAGGGAGGAATTGGCAAGTGACACAGAGAGGCAGTAAAATGGAAATAAAATAAAGTTTACTCCACTGATCATCACACCTAATGGCCTAATGGCGGTGCCCTGATGGACTCCCCATTGGTTTACAACTCCTTTTATATAGGGTTTTACAGCCTTGATCTTATTCTGTTGGTTACACTGCATTTTCACAGTTCACTTTGCCGATACTCAAAACGTGGTGGTGAGGCAGTTGAATTTCAATGCCATTCTGTTAGGAGGGGAAGTAACCTTTTTAAGATTTATCTATTCTAGCCAAGGGGAAGGGAAGTGTCTGGTCAACAAAGGTTCTTTTCATTTACAAAACTTTTTAGAGACTAGATGCCTCCAGTTCCGGTTAAAAAAAAAAAATACGCCCCCACCAGCAAAGGGCAGTTATCTTACATTGTGACCTTTCCTAGGTTTTCACTATTAAAGTTTTCCCTGTCAGTACTGGGGAACTAGTCCAGTTGTCACAACCTTAATCCAGTATCACATGTCCATGATCTAAGACCTCCCTGGGGGCACATGAGGCTTTGGGGGACATTTAAGATATAAACTATAACAGTAGGTATTATTCCCTTGGTTATAGATGTTAGATGGATGTTGAAATTCAAAGTCACATAATTTAGGTGCTGAGCCACAGTTTGAACTAAGAAGTACCTAACTCCACTGTCTATTCCTTGCACTGTACTGGGATTCATTTGAACAGTTACCTGACGTTTTTGTTGTATTAATGTATTTACAACTTATTTTGTGAAATTGATTGATTGATTGGTACTGGGGATCAAACTCGGGACCTTATCCTTGCAGCGCAGGCAGCAGCACCACTGAGCTAAGTCCCCAGTCCCTTGTATTAACAATTTAATTAGAATTTACTGAGGTCTCAGAAAAATTGAGGTTACTTATTTGCTGTGCCTTTGGTTGGCTCCAATTTTTGTTCTATTTTCTATTACCCTGAGCTTCACTTTCAATATTTAAAGTAATTTTTCTTGCCTAAAATAAGTGGCCAATAGGCTACATTTGTGTCTAGAAACTGCTTTGCTGAGGATGCATGAGCGTGAGAAAGGTAGTGAAAATTGATTGCCAACAGCTATGGACTTGCCTTACTTTATTCTATACTCAGACCTGCCCAGGCTTGTGAGAGACCTTATCTCCAGTGATAATCTGCTTTCAGACATGGAATGTTGAAGCTTTACTTGGTTATAAATTTACTTTTAATACCTGGAGCATGATTCTCCAAACTTTTATTTGCATGCCAAATCAATAAAAACTTTGAGCAGTTACTCTTAGTGTGTATATTTGTAAATTATATGTGAATTATGGTAGTGACATTGTATGTTATACACAGAAATATAGATTATATAGAAATTAAAAATGTTTTTTATCTTTCTTGCAACCCAGTGACTATTGTGTTTCTACTTTGGTAACCATTAGCTTCGAATGATATATAGAACATTAAAAGTCTGATGCTATATTTTATGACAGTTATATAAATGAGAAGTGTGAATAGCAATTAATATGGACCTTCTTGTAGCAGTGATTATAACCAGTATGTGAAACACTGCCTCTTACCTCTCACTAATAGAACGTATAGAACTCATGTCTACTTTAGTGGGCAATTCTTTGATGCTATTTTCTCTTGAAGAGTCTTCCAGCTATAAAATTCTAAGATGTATAAAGTTGGGTAAGGATTTGTGGTGAGAGAAAGTATTGGTATCATTCTTTAATGTACTCCAAAAATATGGACATATGTCTTAGTTTTAGCCTAGTGGGAAATGAGTATTGAATTGGATTGAATGGTAAGTTAAATGCATGATTTTGGAGTTACTATACAAAGTGCAGTGTCCGAAGGACACTAATTTCCAATTAGTTTGAGTTCCTCATTTTACATATGGGGGACTAAGGCCCAGAGAAATTTAATGATTTACCTAAGACCTTGTATTAAGTAATGAAAGCTTTTCTAAGACTGAACACATGGGTCAAATTTTATTTATGAAAATTTCAGTATGAAGGATTTCCAAATCCTAACAGATGGCCTACTTGTTTCAAGTGAGATTTGATATAGTACAGTATTTAAAAAGAATTTAGATTGCCATAGATTTTGTTATGATGCAGTTTCACTTGTAATTGGAAATACTGTCTGATTCATCATACTAATTTTCATTCCTCTTTTTCTTCAAGAATGTCCTGATTGTTGAGGTAAGTTCTGCATTTACTTCTTGAATTATTATTATCCCCCCACCAGGCACTGGGATCAAACTCAGGACCTTACCTTTGCAAGGCAGGCATGATGCTACTGAGCTAAATGCCGGGCCCTCTGCATTTACTTTTTAAAATAGTGTTTTTGGTTTTCTAATTTCGTGTTTCATCCTAAAGGTAAGCCAGAGAGAGAAATTCTTCATCAGTTTTAATGGTAGGCTTAGGATAATGTGTTTAGGATAGGCTGCATAGTGATTCATTTTTACTGATAAAGGAAAAATTTTGGTGTATTTCCTAATTTTTGGTTAGAAATCTTTTTTTTCTAAGCATGATGTATATAATTTTATGACTTGTTTAAATTTTGTCTTATGCCACATTTGGTACATATAAAAGTATATAATTTATGTATCATTTTCCATTTGCTGTTATGTCCTGGAGTATTTCATATGTAATAGTAACCAACTTTTTCCAGTGCTCACTTTGCCATGCACTATTCTAAGTGCTAAAGAGACAAGCACAGAGAGGTTGAGCAGTTTCCCAATGGTTTTTCAAAGTTCATCCATGGTGTGGACTGTATCACTACTCATTTCTTTTAATCACTGAATAATATCATGTGGATATACTACACTTTATCCATTCACCACTTGATAGGCTTTTAGGTTGTTTTCACAGCCTTGCTCTGTATTTCTTGTATCTCAGATGTTCTTCCATTAACTGATTGACTTTACTGGAGATTGATTCCAAGGCCTTCTCACTGAGCTACAATTACCCAGGCTGGGCTTGAGCATGTGGTCCTCTTTCTTCAGTCCCAGAATGCTTGGATTACCAATGTGTGCCACCAAGGCTGTCATAAAAATGTGTTATTTCCTTCATTCTTATGTTTAAATCCTTGACAACCAGCTCAAAAGTCTTTCCCAAAAAGCCTTCTATACCACTTCCCTCCTCGTTTCATTTGTGTCCTTTTCTTCTTAATACTAACTTTAAAATATTTTGAACTCAGGGAAGGCTATAAAATATTAACGTTTTGCAAATTTGCTTCAAATTAAAAATTTTAAGAAATTGACATAATAGAGTTAGTTTTATTCTTTCACTTCCCCTTCATTCCCAAAGGTATGACAACTATCCTTAAAGTTGATACATAGCATTCTCATACATTATTTTTATTCTTCCCAAGTACAGGTTAGCCAGGTCCTCTGCACAGGATCTTATCAGGCTGAATCAAGATATGGCTTATCTATGGTCATACTCTCCTCCTTGTAATTGTGGGACAGAGGGTCATTTTCTCTTGCTGCCCACTAGAGGGTGCCCTTAGCTGCTAAAGGCCACCCTCCTGTCCTAACACATGGCCTTTTCACATGACATTTGACTTTAAAACTAGCAGGAAAATCTCCAACCTACTAGTTATTTATGTAACAACCTAAACACTGCAGTGACTATTTCTGCATTTACACATATCCTAGTCATAGCCAAAGGGGTAGAGATTCATTGGTTGTGTACACCAGGGGCCATCAAAATTCTGGCTACCACAGCCCAGAAATCTACATTGTTCACAGCTCTTTAGTCCTGATGTTTCTCATGCTTCACACTGCTTTATGCCATTTTTAAAGAGTACTTTCAGGGAAAAAACATTAGGGGTATGGTTTAAGGCTTTGTTTTAAACAATATCCTACTTTTGACTGGGTACCTAAGATTCACTTTGATGCAAAATCATTTTATATAGTAAAATGTTATTAATTGGGATACTTTTAAAGATAGTACAAAGCAGTGTTTCTCAAAGAGTGGTTTATTAACTACCTATATCTGAGAACTGGGAAGAGAAAAATCTGTATCTTAAATTTATAAAGTACCTTTGATATAGAAGGACAGCATTATGTTTTTATTGAAACACGTGTATAAAATACTTACATATGCATTTTTAATTTGCTGTCTTTGACTTCTTCATGCCTAAAAAAAAATCCAGTACTGGAAACTGACATTCCCAGTGCTTGCTGAGGGCAAGATAATTTGCAGATTCTAAAATATTTCAATGAGGCCAGGTATGGTGACATATGCCTATAATCCCAACACGAGGAAGGCCGAGGCAGGACGACAACAGTGAGTTCAAGGCCAGCCTGGGTTACATAGTAAGTTCAAGCTCAAAGCCTGGATTATATAGTGAGATCCTTCCTGTCTCAAGTAAAATAAAATATCTCAGTGTATGAATTTTGGTGAAAATTATAGCACTGAGAAAAGTTACATTTTATCATAGAGAAATACCAGAACATCGAGGCTCTGGTATTTTGTATTTGAATAGTAACTCTGAATTTAAAACTATGCTGGTTTTGTTTACCATTTAAATGCCTTGTCTTTTTTTTAAAGGATATAATTGACACTGGCAAAACCATGCAAACATTGCTTTCCTTGGTCAAGCAGTATAATCCAAAGATGGTCAAGGTCGCAAGGTATGTATGAAATTTTGAAATGGAATATTTTTTCATTTGGAAAATTAAATGATTTATTCTTGGTAAGGATAAATGCTACCAGCTGTCTTTTTATCTTAAAAAATAATGTCATCTCAAGTGAGACTCAGAAAATAACCTCAGGAAATAACTTTGTTGTGTGTGAATAAAGCCATTCATTACAGTCACCTCCTTGCCTAACACAGTTGTCCCTTAGTATAAATAGGGGAATGGATCCAGGACCCTTGGACACCAAAATCTATAGATTTGCAGGTCTCTTATATTAAACAGCACAGTATTTGCACAGAACCTATGCACATCCTCTTTTGTACTTTAAATCATCTCTAGATAACTTATAATGCCCAATAAATACTATATGTAAATAGTTATTATGTTGTATTATTTAGGGAATAATGACATTGGGAAAATTTCTATATGTTCATTCAGTACATGTCTGTACAGACAATTTTTTTCTGAATATTTTCAGTCCACTCTTGAGTTTGTAGATATATGGTACCTTGGATACAGATTTACATTAAATTTTTCGGCATGCTAATTATGTCCCCTTGTCCCGAGTAGCATGGTAGAAGGTTTGGGGACTCCTTCGAAATTAAGAGCTTCCAGAGGGAGTAACGAAATGGTACAAAGGGGCAGTCCCTGAAGATGTGAAGCTCCTGGAATTGAGTGATGTATAGTGCATCTTGCTTTGTGCCCACATTAAAATTTTTGCAGTGCCTGCTTCCTTTTTCTAAGCCAGACTTACCTCTTGGCCGCATGTGTGCTCTTTGGCTTTTGCTTTCTCAATTCTCCTGATTTTGCGGGTAATTAGAGTTTCACACTGCAACTCTGGGGTACCATTATTACTCCTGCTTTACAGATAAGGGTACAGAGGCATAGAGAATGAACCAGTGACACAGCATCAGTAAGCTATCGAGATGAGATTTGAATCCAGGGAGCCTGGCTCAGTAAATATTTTTTATTACCTCGTGTTTCTGTTAGAAATAACATTCCTGGCTTTTTCTTAATTGGTTGGTTGTTGGAGGGTTACTTTGTTGTTGTTTTGTTTTTTACTTTTATAACTTCTGTTTTATTTTTTATTTCTAAGTCTTTCACCAATATGTGATTTTTGTGTAGGGATCAGGCAGTGACCTAACTTTTCTTTGTCCTTGAATGATTAACTGGATTTTATAATCCACTCTGAAGGTATTTGTTGAGTTTTTGAAATCAGGATCAGTCTACTAATGAGTCATGTGTCAGCAGTCTAGGCTTTTCTCACAGCTGGTATAGGTGTGTGTCAGGTAGATTTTGTGTTGTTAGTGATATGATATACTCGGAGAATACTCAGGTCATTGCATAGTAATGTAGTTGGCCTCTGTCAGTGATTTTTTACCTTTTTCCCTAATCTCCCCCACCTTCAAATTTTAATATCACAGGTATTATGTATCTGTTGAAGTCTTACATGTGTGTTTGTGCTTTGCACATAAAAGGACTAAGTACAAAGCTTATTTTTAATCAAGGTTAAGAATGACTAAAGAACCCTTTTCTTCTATTTTTTATTATTTGAATAAAGTGTTTATACAGTATTGTACAAAGTATAGGGTTTCACTGTTGAGCTTCTATATTGCCTCTTTTTTGCTTTGATCATGTCTACTCTCCCTTCATTTCCTCTCTCAAACTTTTTAACTTAAAAATTAAAAAGCTCCTCAGAATTATACAGTTAACGCTTACAGGATGCAATATCTTTTATTTTGTTGTTTTGTTTTTTTGTGTTTTTGAGACAGGGTCTCACTATGTAGTTGAGACTGACCTGGAACTCACTACGTAGTCCAGGCTGGTCACGAACTCACAGCGATCCTCCTGCCTCAGCCTCCCGAGTGCTGGGATTACAGGATAAATCTCTCGGATCCTTCTTAGTAACATTAAAGTTTTAGATTTTTCCTTCAGCAAGTCCTTAAGGCTCAGCCTTAATGCATATTTTTACTTTGTCTTTTTAGACTGAATCTTCCTCAGCTTAACCTATTGGTAACTTTCAGTGTAATCCCATGAAGCAGTAATTACATCCAGCTTTTGGGCCAGGGAGTTGGCTCAGTGGTTCCACCACCTGCCCCACAAGCGCAAGGACCTGAGTTTGATCCTCGGTACCCCCCCCCAAAATACATCCAGCTCCTGATTTTTACATTTGAATTTAGAACATCTAATACAGTTGCTTCCTCAATACAATTTGTTTGTTAAAAAAATTTTAAATCTGTTAACTGATAGGAATGTAAGATAGCATGGTCACCCTAGAAAATAGTTTGGCAGTTTCTTTAAAAACTGAACATGAAGAAAATAGATTCATTCATAGGAAAATGGATACATATTGAAGATATACTCCTAACTGAAATAAATAAGTCACACATGTGTAAATACTGAATAGTTTCTCTGGTGTGAATAAACTGTAATAATACATAAGATCCTAATAAGATTACTGACATTGTGCAATGGGAAGGGTCTAAAGGTGTAGGGAAGGTGGGATGGGTAGTGGAAGGGTAATAAGGGAAAAGAAAAAAATGTGAGATAATGAAAAGATGGAAATAAAGTGTTTGTAAATGGGGAAGGGAGGAGGGGGTGAAGGGAGGACAGGGACAAGGGGAAAAATGAGAACCAAGACCTGTCATGTAGAGGTACAAGATCCCAATAATGAATGTAACTGCACTGTATACCTAAAATGTACCAATAAACTCAATTAAAGCTGAAAAAAAAAACTTAACATGAAACTTTCCTAAGTCCCCAAAAGTTATGCTACTGAACATTCGTCCCAGAGAAGTGAAAACATGTTCACACAAAACCTGTATATGAGTATTCATGGTAGCTTCATTTGTGATAGCCCAAATCCAAAAGCAGCCAAACTGCCCTTCAGTAGGTGAGTGGTTAAATGAAACTGTGGTACACTCATACCATCATACTCAATAAAAAGGAGCCAACTATTGATAGATGCAGCAGGCTAGAAATGCCTCAGGAAATGTGCCAATAATAGACAATATCCAAATGTTGTATACCACATGATTCCACCTCTGCAGACTTCTTAAAGTGACACAGTTATAGAAATTGAGAACAGATTAGTGGTTGCCAGGGCTAGAGGTTACAAGAGAGACCCTTCTATGATCGATTGTGGTAGGAATTACATACATCCACACATGGGATAAAATGTCCTAACAAATAAGATGGGTACTTGTAAAAGTAGTGAAATCTGGACAAGGTCAGTTAGTTTACCAATATCCTGTGTCCTTATTGTGACAGTCTTTTATAGTTAATCAAGGGTTACCATTGAAAAACTGAATGAAAGACAAGGAACCTCCTTTGTGTGTGTGTTTGCAACTTCCTATGAAAGAAAACATTTGAAAAGTTATTGACATTTATCTTTTCTTACTTCAATCACAATTTTTATTTATTTTTCAAATTAAAAAGCTTCTGCATATCAAAGGAAACAGCCAATAGAGTGAAGAAACACCTGTTCCTCAGAGGACAAATATGTAGAATATATAAAGAACTCAAAAACATCAGACCTCCCAATATAAAAGACCCAGTCAATGCTGCCGGCAGTGGTGCACACCAATAATCCCAGTATTTCGGAGGCAGAATTGAGGCCAGCCTGAATCTCTGTATGAAGATTAGAAATTCTGATTTAACCCAGCCATTTTGCTTATTTAACTTTGTATTTTGCTGAGTCATTTCTATGATGTTTATTTTGTAAATTAATCAAATCAATATGCAAATTAGCCACTTCTGTAAATATCTAATGATAGCCATGTAAACAATTGGAAAAACATGTTTCCAACAAGAGCCAAACAATTGAAAATTGAATCAAACATTTTAGCTGCCAGTGTAGATCAGTAGTAGTGTGTGCTTAGTAAGAACAAGACCCTGGGCTCCATCCCTAGGATTCCTCCCTCCTCAAAACAAAGTTGCTTCCTTTAACACACTATTTTTTAGCCTAAACATCTTCTTTGTAAGCCATATATTAAAAATCTTGGTGAAAGGAAATACTCATCTCTCCCATATCCTCAATAGGTTAGGGATTATATTTCCATGGATTCTGAGCCAAAGTACCCTTTATTTTTTCATCTTTGCTCATTGGCACCTCCCTCCCATTTGCCCTCCCAGTTACCTGCTCTTAGATGTACACATAGGTTTTGAGGGTGCAGCTCTCAGAACTGTTCATCAGGTTCCAGGTGGAGATCAGAGGTTTGTTCATACTGTGAACTCATTGCTGCCCCTTTCCAGTGACTGGCATGGTTTGGCTGTCCATTTCCTATCTTCTGAGTGTGTTAAAATGGACTGTGGCATGCTAAATGCAGATGGAACACTGTTTAGGAACATGGATGTGCTCTTTGGTAATGCCCTGTAATCTTTTCATATGTGACATGTCACACTTTGTAATTAACAGCTTGCTGGTGAAAAGGACCCCTCGAAGTGTTGGATATAGGCCAGACTGTAAGTGAATTACTTTTTGTCAATCATTTAACCATCTTCTTACCAAAAAAAGTCTTATGTGAAGTGGCTTAGAGTTACTCTGGGGAATATTTTTAGAGAAGGCACATTTTCAAGTATTAGATTTGAAAGTAATGTTTTTTGTATCTAAATGATGAATTATGATTCTTTTCAGTTGTTGGGTTTGAAATTCCAGACAAGTTTGTTGTTGGCTATGCCCTTGACTATAATGAATACTTCCGGGATTTGAATGTAAGTAATGCTTCTCTTTCTCACTCTCATTCTTCAAACCCTACATAAAAATTTAGGAAAGAGAATTGTTTTTTCCTCCCAGCACCTCATAATTTGAACAGACTGATGGTTCCTATTTGTCAACATAAAGATGTAGTCAAGTAAAGATGTCCTAAGAGCTGGAACTTAGCCAAGTTAGGGGGACACTTCTTGCTGGCTGAAATAGTTGAACAGCTTTATATATATATAGTACCTGTCGCATTATTTCAAATGATAAATGTGGTCCTAGGGAAGAACTGAGTGATCAAGTTTAAGTCTTTTAATTCACTCCCCTTCAAATACATGCCTCCTACTTTGGAGACAGGAGTCCCTTGAGTGTGCTAAAAAATATGGTTGAGGGAGATTTAGGAAGACTCACCAGAAGCACTAGCTAAAGCAGGGTATTTAATCCATCTTTCTTTCCCACTTACCCTGGTCCCTATTTTGACATACCTGAAATTCCCTACTTTATTTTTTGAAGTTGTATATTGAGACAAAAAATCAAACTAATGGGAGAAACTACTGCCTTTTTTTTCAAGACACTAGATTAAATCACTACCTTTGCTTGTTTTAGTAAGAGCCCTGGCAGCACAGTATTATTCCTATAAGATATACAAAATTCTGTGTTTACCTTTCATTTCACAATACATTGTTCTAATGTGAATTTCTGGATTTGTATTTTACAGCATGTTTGTGTCATTAGTGAAACTGGAAAAGCCAAATACAAAGCCTAAGATGAGAGTTCAAGTTGAGTCAAGAAACATTGGGAGTCCCATTGATATCGCCAGCAGAATTATCAGATGTTCTAGTTTTGTGGCCATCTGCTTAGCAAAGCTTTCTGCATGAAACTTCTGAGAAATTTATCTATTTTGTATTTTAGAAATGTCAGTTGCTGCATTCCTGAACTTTTTATTTGCACTGTGAGCCTGTAGACTATCAGTTCCCTTTGGGTGGGTTGCTTAACTTGTGAATGGAAAAAAAAAGTCTCATAAATCGCACCACTATTAAATGAGACTGGAAATTTTATCTGTGAGAAATGTTTAAAGAGAAAAATATTAGTTTTTTAATTGGTATTTTAATTTTTGTATATTTAGGAAAGAACAGAGGTGATTGAATATCATTCATTATATCGTCATGTGCATAGAAAAGTAAAAAGCAGTCAGTTTTTTCATTGATATCGGTGACAGCATCCAAGAGGTTTTGTTCAGTTGAAAAAAAAATCTGTTTTGGTAGTGTTGACTCTTTTTTCCCACTAGTTCAAGATTATTTCCTATTAATCCTTGTCAACAGTTTCTTTTAAATGCAAATAAATAAATTTTAAAAAATACCACTTTTTTAATTCTTCAGTGTGAAAGTCCTTAACATAAGAACTCACCTCTTTAAAAGAAGCTACATGTCTATCATTTCTCCACGAATGAACTTGTAGTTTTACTGTGGGTTGATTTTCCTTGTTTTAGGTGTTAGTAGCTAAATTGTGATCTTTACCACATGTAGCAAATAATGGCTATCGGGGTGCAGTGGGCTGATGGAGCTAGCAGAGTTCTTTCCTACTTCAGAGATGTTAAATTTCAGGCACCCCGTACACTTTACTACATTTTACTGTGCTAAAAGAACCTGATTTTCTCTTGGAGATGTTAGGTTCATATTGTATCTCAACCAATTGTTTACATTCACGTCCTGTTACCTTCTTCGTGTAATAATACTTTATTGGCCAAAGAACAACAGCCCTTTTTGTTTTCTGGCAGCAGGAGAAAATTTTAAATCAAAACTCTTAATTGCTTCTCTGTTCGAGGTGAAGTATGAAGTAACAGCCTTGTGAGATATCTAGCTATATTTATTTCTTTTCAGGTTTGCTGTAATTCCCAGCAGCAAGTAGGGAGTTTTAAATAATGCTAAATGATAATTTGCTGTAATTCGTGGACTTCCTATTTTGTAAAATATTTCACTACTGTTGTCTCATTTGATCGGGTTGAGGATGATGTTAGCCACATGAGTGCAATATCTTGAATAACATGAGTCCCCATTCCCTTCAAAATGTCACCTCTCTGAGGTGCACCTGTTTACCTATTAATGCAGCATCCTGCTCCCACTGCTGACTCTACTTCCTCCCCTTTTTTTCAGTTGTACTATCAGTTTCTGTTGGATTGAACCATATGAAATTACTACTGTCTTTGTAGGTAAAAAACAAACAAAACACTGCTGGTGCCAGGGATTTAGCTCAGTGGCACTGCGCCTACCTCCTACCTCCTATGTGCAAGGTCCTAAGATTGATTCCCGGTAAGAGGAAAAAACACTGCCGGTAATTTTGATAACATTCCATATCATTTATGTTGTGTTTATTGCTCACTGTTTGTCTCCACCCCTGGTAGAATAAGTTCCATAGAGCAGGGTGCAGTGTCACTCCTGTGATCCCAGCTATTCAGAAGGCTGAGACAGGACAATTGCATGTTCAAGGCCAGCCTTCAGTAGTGTGACTCAAAATGAAATTTAAAGGCAGCCGAGGATGTAGCTCAGTGTTGGGTTCAGTTCCTAGTGCTGCAGCAGAAGAGAGAAAGGTCTGGAGGAAGGGGAGAGGAAGAAAGGATGGTGGAGGAGAGAGGAAAGGAAAGAAATACAAGCTCCATAGAAGAAAACTATCTTATTCACTGATATATACTCAGTGGTAGAGAATAGTACGAGTTCACAGGGTTGTTAAATAAGAGCCAAGAGTTCTGGCCTGGCTCTCAGTTACACTGTCCTTCTTACTAAATATGCGGCAGCCTGTTACCTAGTTTTGTAACCTGGTTAGTGGGCGTAATGTTGTCTACTTAACAGGCTCATTGGGAGGCTTAACAAGCTGTGACAATGCAGGTGAAACGTGCACTTAGCACATCACATCCTTTTTAGTTGCTGCCATAAAATAAATACTCCAAGAAGTTAGGTGCATGACTAGTAAGTGGCAGAGCCAAAGTTTAAACCAAGATCTTACTACAATATCAAGAAAGAGCTGAGCTCCTCCAAACTTTTTTTTTTTTGGTTTTGTTTTACTGGATATTGAACCCAGAGCATTTGTATTATACTGAGCTACATCCCCAGATCTTTTTGAATTTTTGAGACAGGCTCTTGCTCAGTCACTAAGTTGCACAGCCTCAGCTTGAACTTGTAATCCTCCTGCCTCAGCCTCCCCAAAATGCTAGGGTTACAGGAGTGCACCACCACTCCTGGCTTAAAATTCTTTTAGTCTATAGTAAAGTATAATGCTTTAGTTGGTTGCCTAACCCAACCCAATCTGAAATCCAGCTAACAGCCAATAGGAAAAGGCTTCTGCCAAACTATCCTGACTTCCATACATGAACTGCAGCAAAAAATTTTTATTTAGAAGAATATTCATTAGACCTGCACTTAACCTGATTGGGGGCATAAGATTCTAATCATTTGATTTGATTTTTTAAGGCAGCATCTTTGTGCAGCCCAGCTGGCCCTAAACTCAAGATCCTCCTGCCTTAGCCTCCCCAGTTCTGGGATCACAGGCATGGGCTACCACACCCAGCCATAATTTTATTTCTTTAATCAGCTTTCAACAGATCAGAAATAGTTGGTCTATAAAATGGGGTGGGAGATAATAGAAGCAACAGTCATTTTCAGGGTGTGTAGTATACTAAAGTGAGAAAAAGTAAAATTAGAAAAGTAGCTGTATCTTCTTGGGCCACTTACTATAGGAGCAAATGGTCACGAATGTCACTCTGGAAATTCTCTGGGACTTCACTTTCATTACAATCCTGCATAATAAAGGATGCTTGTAAAGGTAGGAAAATGAAGTTTCATTTAAATTCATTTTGGGAGACAGAAACAGTCCATTTTAGGAATATCACCATCCGAGAAACTATCCATACCTAGTTACCATGAGTGTTGAACCTCTTGTGCATTCCTGGGTAGCAGGTGCTTAGCATCATATCTAATACCAGTAGGTCCTCATTTTAATTCTGTAATAGATTGTGGTTAAGCTGGCCTGCTCTGCCTTTGGTTTGGAAAGTTCATCAGTTGTTTTTTTACTGCATTTGAGATTCTAGAACTACACAGCATCTTCTGTGTCCCAGGTACTGGGGAAGACCAGCAATTTTCCTGAAGATTCATTCTAGTTGGAGAAAGGAACAATAAACAAGGTCATGTCAAAATAGTGATGGGCTGTGAAGAAATTAAAACAATGTGCAGGGGCCTTGGAGTGGCCTCCCCTTCCTTAGGGCAGGGGTGGGGGCCTCGGGAAGGTCTAACAGGACTGGAGCAGAAGTCAGCTGCAGACAAGGAAAGCTAGGGGAAGGAGTTCCAAGCAGCAGTAGAAATAGGTAAAAGGAGGTGTGATTGTGACAAGCCACCTGAGGTGCCTGAGCCAGAGGGAGCCAGAACCTCATGTGGGTGACCTTGAAGGTATAACAAGGACTGATCTGCATTCCACAGTGAGGAGGGTTTTAAGCAGGGTGTGAGATTTAATTTGCATTTTTAAAGACGCAGGAACCTCTTTAGAGCCCTTCTGAAAGCAGGTTCAGGGGCTTCAAATATAATACTGGCAGTGACAACAGTAACCATTTTTAATGTTCATATATGTCAGAAATTGTGCTGTGTGCTTGATGCACATTTTTATTCATGGAAGAGACTGACTGACTTGGATGTTGAATGGCTAAATTAGTGGAGAGAAGGGATTATTGAAGGAAAGCTGCCACGGACATAGACAAATTAGCCATTATTTCTTGCCTGAATTATTGCAGTAGCCTCTGTCCTGATCTCCAGCTTCTATCTTTGTCCATCTTCCCCCAGCACATTCCATTCTGTCTCTTTTCTCAGTCTGTGTCTTCATCTATCACTCTGTCTCATATATACACACACACAGTCTGACACGACAGCCAAAGTGACCCTAATTAAATCTTTAGTCAGGACTGTGCATGGTGGCACTACCTGTGGTTCTGGCTACTCGGGAGGTTAAAGGGGAGGATCGTGTGGTCCCAGGAGTTCTAGACCAGTCTGGGCAACGTGAGGCCCAGTCTCACTTAGACTGAATCACTCTTCTACTGGTATCCCTCCTGTGGCTCCCCATTTTGCAGTGAAAACCAAAGTCCTTTCCATTGCCAAGAAGCTACACACACACACACACACACACACACACACCCTGCACCACCATGTCCCTGCCCCACAACAGGCCAAGCAGGCCCAGGAATCCCTCCACTGCCCCCATGTGCACCTTGACCAGAGCACTGGGACTGCCCCACGCACCCCCAATGGGCCTCCCTGCACTCCCCATCTTGGTCAGTTTCCACCCTGAACTTGTTGGGGTCATTTTTAGGTTTTTTTTTTTTTGTTGTTGTTGTTGTTACTGTTGTTGGGGTTGGGGGGTGGAGGATCTTTTAAAATACATAAATCAGATCGTTATTCACTTGATACCTAAGGAAACACAAACTGTTCTGTGGCCTACAAACCCATGTGTAAATCAGCCTCTGCTCACTTCCGTAACTCATCCCTAATTTTTCCTCCTCGTTCTCACCCCCGCAGCTGCCCTTTTAGTTCTTCCTGCCTGCCAATCTCCTTGCCTTAGGGCCTCTGTAATTGCTGCTCCTCCAGCCCTCCTCCCCCTGCCCCATCAATGTGGCTGGCTCACCTTGGGGAGCCCTGTTCTGACCTTTCTAATAGCGTCAAAGTCACTCTCCATTAATTACCTCTTATTTTCCTCGTGGTCCTTGGCGCTGCCAAGCAGCCAAGTGTTCTTTAAGTAGCAACACCTAACAGCTGCTAGACTGGACTTGCCACTGTGCCTTAGATTTGGCTGGAAAAGAAACAAGGCCACATGGACAGTTATTACTTAGTTACTCGTTGCTGAGACAAAATAGCCAACACTCAGTAGTTAAAGGAGGAAAGGATTATTTGCCTTACAGTTAGTAGAGGTTTCAGTGCCTAGATGGCTGGCTCCAAGGCAGGGCAGCATGGCAGAGGGGTATAACAGAGGAGAAGCAGTCTATGGTATGGCCCGCAGGAGCCAAGAAGCCTTCCTTCTTTCCCTTTTTATTCTATCCAGGCTATAGGCCTATTGATTGGTGCCACACACAACCAGGATGGGACTTCCCTCCTCAGCAAATCCATCATCCACACCTAGAACTATATACTCAATTAGTGGACTGATCCAGTATCACGCACCCATGACCCAGTCATTCCCAAAAGCCTCAGCTATGAGTGCATGAGGCTTTGGGGGACACCTAGACACAAGCCATAACACTCACCCTCACTGAGACAAGCATGCTGTCAGATCCCCGAATCCTCAGTCACACAGGGTGACATGAACCATGTGTTGCTCT